ATTCACATGCCTTTTTCAATGTATTTCTTAGTTCTCAACTGTGTTTAGAGTAGCTTCAGCTAATGCTGGTCTTCCAATTAAGCGAAGTATTTCCCCATCTTTGCTTTTCCACTCTTCCTATTTCTCTAATTTCTGGAAACTCCAACAAGGGTATACAGGCGCCTAAAGGTGGGGGTGTGTGCGCGCACACTCACCCTACTGGAGACAGAATGCTGAAGCAAGATGTCCCTGCCTTTGTGACTTCTGTTCTAAAATGTATCATTTTACTTTGGGCAATCATCTCACTGGTTTTTTGTTTTGTTTTGTTTTGTTTTTCCTGTAACATTCTCCGCTTCTGCGTATGACATTTCTCTTTGGCTACTTTGTTTTAGCATCCTACAACTTTTCTCTCTAGGTCACACTCATTGTGTGATAACCTCTCATTTCATGATAACCTTTCACTGCACAGACACATTAAACTAATCTTACTGTCGGCAGTTCTAGATTTCTTATTTGGAGGCGTGCGTCAAATGTGCCCCCCCCCCCACATACTCCCCACATCACATAGAACTCCAATAACCCTTTCATTGCTAACAGTTGCCTTGAAATTATTTACATGATTAAAAAAAATAAGCTATCTGTATGCACTGTTAGAACAAGCCATACAATAGCAGTAGTTCTGGCAGAGGGACGAACAGTGAATTAACATTCGTAGTTAACTGTGAATGACAGAAAAGCAGATCTTTTTCTGGGCGGGGCGGGTAATAGTGGCAGATCATACTGAAAAGAAGAGGGGGAAATTATAGTCAGAGACTGGAGACCCTGAAGACCTGAGACTTAGATCTCATTTCTGTTGAGAACCAGTCTCGGCAGATCCAAGGGACACTCAATCGCTCACCAATTCATCCTGAACATAAGAACCTTCCTTACAATAAAGAGCCACATGGCAGGAAAAGGAGCTGCAAAATCCCCCTAAAGCAAACTACTGACTTGATCTGAACATGCGTTATGACACAGAAGTTGCTTTGCAGACTTCTTTTCCTTTAGTAGGAACTAACATGATTGCAGCCCAAGAACATCAGGGGAACATATGCTCTTTGAGAAACCAGAAGATTCCAAGCTTCTCAACTTAAAATAAAAAACAAAAAACACAAAAAAACAAAAACCCCAAACTTTCCCATGAACTTGAGAAGCAACTTTAAGATACGCGTTGCCAGGGCCCATGTTTTGACTTCCCAAAATCCAAAACGTAGTGGAGTGTCTGTGGACCTCGTTTTCTTTATGCACAGACTTACAAAATGGTATTGGGTCTGCCCCGAACAAAACAGCAGCTGCTGCCAAAAACAACATTCATCTTTCTTTAATCTCGAATGCCAGCTAGCGAAGCAGGCAGTTCCCTTGTAGCCCAAATGTGCTTTGGAAGCAAGCCAACTGGCTTAGCTACCCAGAGCCAGGAAAGCAAGTTACCAAGATACAGGTATAGTAATTAGTCCTGAGTTCAGGTCTTTTGAGGTCATATGAACCATATCGTTCAAAAATAACTGAAACATAAACCAACAACAGATTCTGGTTCAGTGAATAACCTTTGAATTCTATAGGATTTCTTCCTTCAGATTTTTATTTAAATTTTTTTTAATGTTTATTTATATTTGAGAGATAGAGCATGAGTGGAGAAGGGGCAGAGAGAGAGGGAGGTACAGAATCCGAAGCAGGCTCCAGGCTCCAAGCTGTCAGCACAGAGCCCGATGTGGGGCTTGAACTCAAGAACTGCGAGATCAAGATCTGAGCTGAAGTCGGACACTTAACCAACTGAATCACTCAGGTGCCCCTTGATTTCTAATTCTTAAGAAATATACCATTAAACATTCTAGAGAAAATGACTAATCATACCACGCAAATTCTCTAGTGATTGTCCAGTAAGCTCAAGGAGCAAAGGAAACACTTAGCGTAAAGTTTAGAAAAAATAAACCTGCTTTCAGGAAAGCAGATGTTAACAGGGTAGCTAAGTGAAAGTCAAGCCACCTTCAAGTCCAGATTGGTGTACTAAAGTCCTATTAAGATCTACTTCCACATCTCTCCATGTAGACTCTTTTGTGAAGAACTGAAATAAAAATATTCTAGGGACACCTGGGAGGTTCATTTGGTTGAGTGTCTGACTTCAGCTCAGGTCATGATCTCATGGTTCCGGGAGTCCAAGCCCCACATGGGCTAGCTGCTGTCAAGCACAGAGCCTACTTCCGATTTTCTGCTCCCCTCTCTGCCCCTTCCCCACTTACACTCTCTCAAAAATAAAATAAAAAACATTAAAAAATATCCTAAAATATTGGTGATCTCTAAAACATGTGAATATGCTCTAACAAAAATTGAACAACCTAGAAATGAATTATTTAGTATGAAATCAGACAAACAGTGGCTTTAATGTAAACAGGGAATTTAAGGATTTCAGTGTATTCAATATATGGGGAAAATGAGAAAAATCACTATGGACAGTCCTTAATCTAAACATAAATGTTATTTAAAGGGAAAATGACTCACATACATAGACTCCTACTAAGGGCCACACACAGGAAGAACAGTTTGCAGATATTAAATATAACCTTCCCATCAACCAAATTACAGGTGAGTAAAACATGCTTCGGTGAGATTAAGTAACTTGCTTACGGCCACTCTACTAGTAAATACCTGAGCTGGGTTTAAACCAGTATCTATACTATACTAGGAAGAAAAATACTGGGCTAGTCACATAATAACACTGATTTCATTTATATTTAATGAACCATTCAATTTTATCTAAAATACCTATGCTGTGAATGGGGTATAGGTCCATTTAGTGGAATCAGTTTTTGATTGAAACCACCATGTAAAATTATTACTAGGCTGAGTAAATAAGTAGTACAGGTAAATCAAGTTACACTTCACTGTAGCTTTTTTAAAAATTGCTTAGCTAGAGGGTAGGAAAGAAAACAAAGTGATAAGTTGTTCCTCCTGATAAAAACAAAATTAAGTGCTTCCAGACTTCTGAGAGCTACCTATTCATTTAACAAACATGTATGGGAGTGCCTGGGTGGCTCAGTCAGTTAAGTGTCTGACTTTGGCTCAGGTCATGATTTCGCAGTTCTTGAGTTCTAAGCCCTGCATCGGGCTCTGTGCGGACAGCTTGGAGCCAGGAGCCTCTTCAGATTCTGCATCTCCCTCTTTCTCTGTCCTTCCCCTGCTTGTGCTCTCCTTTTCAAAAATAAACAAACATTAAAAAAACACACACACACAAAGAAACATGTATGGAGTACCTGATAAGTATGTAAGATAAAGACACAGCAGATGTCTTCTTTGGCCTCTGGAAGCTCACATTACTAGGGAACGGGCGAGAGGGGAGGGGCTGAGGAGGGACAGCTAAACCTAACTTTGGGGAAACTGAAGGAGGGACTTCAGAGATAGCTCCTGGGAGATGACCCCTTCTTCGAAGGTGAATAGCAGGTAGCTGGATCAAAGAGAACAGGGGTGAAGACACCTACCTGGCAGAGGAAGTAGGAAGTGCCTGCAGAATTGGAAAACAGCATTTTCATGGAACTTTACATTGATGATATGACTGGAAAATGAGTTTCAGGGAATAAATAATAAAACAGAGGAAGCTAGAGAGAGAGGCAGAGGTCCTCCAAATTTTGCTTACTGATAAAGGATTTTATATTAGAGACATGGGGAGTTCTGAAGGACGTTAAGCAGGGGAATATCAAGATCTGATTTTGGAAAGGCTTATCTGGTATCAGAATGAAGGATACACTGGGGGGTGTGGAGGTCATTGAAGTCATCAACTAGGGCAGAGGCGGTGGGAGTGAAGAGAAATGGGCAAGTTCACGAGGACTTGAAGTTGACTGGGACTTGGATGGCCAGCACAGAGTGTGTGGGGTAAAAGTGGTAGGAGTCACAAATGACCTCTAGTTCCAATTTAGGTGACTGGGTGAAAAGTAGTGCTATTCACTGAGCCAGGATATGTAGAAGTGGTAGCTGGAGATTATTGGAAGTTATCACCAAAAACCTTGGGGGATACTCCCTCTAAGGAGGAGGAGAACTGTCTGCACGGAGAGGAGAGAATGAAAAGCCAAGCACGAGAGGCAAATCCATGGATTGCGGGATCTGCAATTACTGTAAAAAGAAAGGCTAAGAGGGCAAGCATGAGCACTAAAACAAGCACTGAAAACAGTCAACCTGATGGCTGCTGAAAAATACCTAATGGGGTTGACGCTGCTAAGGATAGTTTCCATGGATTGACAGAACTAGGAATCAAACCACAGTGGTAAATGAGCCAGGGGAAATTTCAAGGGGATATACTACAACAGCTTGAAAAGGAAGGAGAGCAGGTAATCTGGAAAGGCTAGAGTCCACTTTAGTCAGGGCAGAAGGAAAGACAGCTCAAAAAGTGTGGAGCTATAATGATAAACTAAGCCTTCCTCTTTCTTAAAGGGTCTGTGTCTGGGAGCAACTCACCTGCAGTTAATGACAGCCAGGTGAGCTCTGAGGCACTGCCACTATGGAAATCCCTGCAAAGAACTTCTACCTTGGGCTAGAATCTAGGGCCTAGGTGTTCAAGCTCTGTTATTACTATTTTGCAATAGACACGTACATGGCAGGAGCGTTTGGGCCAGCAGTAGACTGTCACTGGAATCAATGGTAATGGAAGTCATTAGCTATTCATAAACAGAGCAGTTAATATAAAAACAGAAGGAAAGAATTCTCCTAAACAGTATAATCTCCTATATTTTAGGGCGAGGCTAGCTGATGACTAATTCTAATCAATTTTACGAGGATGATATGTAACAAACCAAACTACGCTAGAAAATTGCTAGGTGCTAGTTTAAGGTTGAACCTACATGTACATATTTATTGCCAGATTTTTTTTTTTGCTATAATATACATTTTCAAAGAAATAGAAGACAGGCCCTCAAATTGGCATAGAAAAAAAATTACGGCAGTTTTGAAATTCACATATTACCTTCAAACACTCCATAGGCACACGAAGATGATTGAGAAATAGTCGAGTTTAAAGCTCATGGAGAATTTTAGTGTTTGGATTGTCATTCAGTGTCAGTTTGAGATAATTGTTTCTTGTCCGGAATAAATAAATATTAGGGCCGGAACTATAATAATGGCGAAAGCATAGGAAGTTGTAGTTTTTATGTAGTTAGGATACAAGTTGTTTTTATACACTATTGTGTATATTAGTGGCTCTTAAAATTAAATCACAATATGTACTCTGAGTGTGGTAGCTTTCCAAAAAACAGCTACAAAAACATAAATTGTAATATATACTCTTTCAACTGTGTGACTCATTTCTGAAAGTATAAATCAAAAGCTCTGCAATTTTTGAAAACCTGTAAAATCTTTTGCACTCCCAACACCTGAGAGATGGAAAATGAATGTAGATTCCAGCTCCTATCTGATCCCATGTGCTGAATCTGAACTGAATGATTGCCCTAGAACTTGTGTTTTTATTGTTTTGTGTTGTTTTCTCCTATGGTTGCAATTAAATGTGCTAAGATGTCTTGTCACATCAGATCAGCTACCAGGAGTCTGACAAGTTGGGTCTCTAAGGGACTTTTAATTTTTAAGAACTTACTCTGAGGAAGCAGCTCAGGGAATTTCTGAAGGTCTTTTCCTCACCTGGGCTTTTTTTTTTTTTTAACCACATTAAAATAAATCTTTATACTGTTTTAATTGTTTCCAAACTCCAAAAGCATCAAAACCAGTGGGGGTTAAAGGCATAAACTCAAAGAATACTCACAATCTTGATCATTTCCTCCATCACATCAGATGATAAGCCCAATTTGCAAATATCAGGGCATAAGCATTCCTGATTATGCAACATGTGCTAGACACACCAACTTCCTCTGGTTGAGTTGAATACACTGTTCAAATGTTCCCCTCTTTCACTGAAGGTGCCCTACTGGAAACAGAGGGAGTTGGCTGTCTTACATTCAGAAGAAAGTGTAATCATCTGGGGTGTTTACAAAGATTGCAGATTCCTAAGCATCACACAGAATCAAAATTTCTGAGGGTGCATCACAGAGATGTGCACTTTTAAAAAGCCCTCCATGTGATTTTTTAGGTATTCTCTAAAATCTGAGCCATGCTATTATTAGGCTGTACTAGCTCATGGGGGCTATATCATTACAGAAAACAAAAAGGTCTAAAAAGGTAAATGAGGTTGCCTTTGGTTCAAGGGCTACCTATTAGATGCTCCGGATTTAGAGCAACCTGAAAAAAGAAAAACTAAATGTAACTGAACAGTGTAGGAGTAGTGAGCATAGAGAGTACTATGGACTGGCTCTTTCAATCCCTACTCCAGCTCTCTCCTAGCACATTCTCCTGCACTGTGGTAGCTGCAGAACTTCTATTGCTCTGTAGTCAGCTACAATTGTAGATGTGATTTCGGTTCTGGCAATCAGGCATAACTCTGCAAGACTGAGGCGAGAAGGAAATGTCAGAAAAGGAGCTGGGTGTTGGACATGCAGTTTGCTCCCTTGGGTGGCAGTGTGGACAGAAAGTCCCTGCAGTCAGTAGCAGAAAGAGCCTCCTGCGCTAGGTCTAACAGTTCTACAAACAGCGGTGGATTTAACAGGGTTCTAGGCAACCAGAGTATTAGCTCAGACTCCTCTTCTAGCCCTTCCAGTGGTTTTTGTAAGCTACCCCCATTCTGTTTAGCTGGAACGGATTATCCCATCTGCAACTAAACCCTAAGCAAAACTTGGAGAAAAGAACCCAGTGATTAAGCACTTCTTGCTCATAAAGGTTAGTCTAAGCTTTCCCTAGGAATCCATTATAGTGTTTAAAAATTCAAATTGTGGGGCACCTGGGTGGCTCAGTTGGTTGAGCGTCCGACTTTGGCTCAGGTCATCATTTCACAGTTTGTGGGTTTGAGCCCTGTGTTGGGCTCTGTGCTGACAGCTGGCTCAGTGCCTGGAGCTTGTCTTCAGATTCTGTGTCTCCCTCGCTCTCTCTCTGACCTTCCCCTGCTCATGCTGTCTCTCTCTCTCTCTCAAAAATAAATAAAACATTAAAAAAAAAAAAGAATTCAAATTGTAAGACAGGGATCATTTTAAAATTTAAGAAAAAAAGAGCAATTTTTGATGGTCGATAACTGAGAATGTTAACTAACGTTAATTCTACCATCAAAAGCACAACAAAGCACTAATCTCTGACATGCCCAGGACATGTTCCTTTGGTGACAGTGCACTTCAACACCAAGTTCATTGTTGATGCAGCAGGTAATGTTTAGAACAGGAGAACATCAGCAAAGTAAGACATGGATTCAAATCCTGATTCTGTCACTGACAGGCTAGAACCTTGAACCAATTATGTAACTGCTCTGAGCCTCAGTTTTCTCATGGGGATAGCATTTCTTTGGATTTTTGAAAAGATTAATTAAGACAGTATTATGTAAAACACCAACAAGAGGCCTGGAACAGGAGAGATCACGACATGACTGCCAAGGCTATAGGTATTTATCATTATTACTACTTCTTTAGATGTTGAATTCAAAATTAACAGTTGTACTAACAGTGAATGTCACATTCTATTCATGTTCTGCTTCTCTGGAGATTAAGGATCAGCACAGGAAGATGATAAAGGGTTTGTGAAACTGCCCTTGGTTTGGATTTGGATCAGCTTTCCCAAGGCAGGCAGGCCATCTTGACCTGGTTCTTGGCCTGGTGTAAAAGTGAGGCTGAACTGTTTGGGCAATGAGTGAATGTTAACTGCAACAGCAGAGTTTCAAAAGTCAGCTTGAGCTTCAGTAATAAATTTGAGGCAGCTTTAGAAAACAGAATGTGTTTACTCATGCACAGAGAAGGAGTGTGGAGTAGGGCCTGGGAGGCAGTGATTCAGACTGCCCAGGGCCACTTGTGTGGCTCAGTTAGCTGGGCATTGGACTCTTGATTTCACCTCACGTCATGATCTCATGTCATGGGGTAGAGCCCCACATTGGGCTCTCCACTGAGTGTGGACCCTGCTTGCTCACTCTCCCTCTCTGGCCCTTCCCTGCTCCAAATAAACATTTTAAAATTAGACTGCCCAACTTGGAAGCTTTAGTCTGCCACTACACCTGCCTTGTGGCCTTTGGAAAGTTTATCTTACTATGCTTTAGTCTCCTTACCTGAAACATGGACCTAATAACAGAATCTACTTTCCAGGCTTGTTGAGGACTAATATGTAAAGCCCTTGTATAGTACAGTACCGGACAAGGAGACACACTCTACAAATGTTACCATTGTTATTAGCATTGCTGTCTATACAACCACACTTAGAACTAGCATCCTCAAAACTATCAACACCCTAGAGGAGAAAGCAGGAAACAACCTCCTTGACCTCCACCGCAGCAACTTCTTACTTGACACATCCCCAAAAGCAAGGGAATCGAGAGCAAAAATAAACTGTTGGGACCTCATCAAGATTAAAAGCTTCTGCACAGCAAAGGAAACAACCCAGAAAATTAATAGGCAACCAACGGAATGGGAAAAGATAGTTGCAAATGACATATCAGATAAAGGGTTAATATCCAGAATCTATAAGGAACTCACCAAACTCCACGCCCGAAAAACAAACAACCCAGTGAAGAAATGGGCAGAAGACATGAACAGACACTTCTCCAAAGAGGACATCCAGATGGCCAACAGACACATGAAACGATGCTCAGCATCCCTCCTCATCAGGGAAATACAAATCAAAACCACACTGAGATACCACCTCACGCCAGTCAGAGTGGCTAAAATGAGCCAATCAGAGAACTCTAGATGCTGGCGAGGATGTGGAGAAACGGGCACCCTCCTGCACTGTTGGTGGGAATGTAAACTGGTACAGCCCCTCTGGAAAACAGTGTGGAGGTTCCTCAGGAAACTAACAATAGAACTCCCTTATGACCCAGCAATAGCACTGCTAGGAATTTACCCAAGGGATACAGAAATGCTGAGGCATAGAAGCACATGTACCCCAATGTTCATAGCAGCACTCTCCACAATAGCTAAAACATGGAAAGAGCCTAAGTGTCCATCAACAGACGAATGGATCAAGAAGATGTGGTTTATCTATACCATGGAATACTACACGGCAATGAGAAACAATGAAATCTGGCCATGTGTAGCAACATGGATGGACCTTGAGGGTGTTATGCTGAGTGAAGTGGGTCAGGCAGAGAAGGACAAATACCATATGTTTGCACGTATAGGAGGATTAGGAGGAACTTGACGGAGGACCAAGGGGGAGAAGAAGGGCGGAAATGGTGGGGGAAAGGGAGAGAGGCAAACCATGAGAGACTCTTGAATGCTGACAAAAACTGAGGACTGATGGATGTGGGGGGGAGGGGGAGATGGGCATGAAGGAGGGCACTTTGGGGATGAGCACTGAGTGTTATGTAGAAACTAATTTGACAATAAACTATTTGTAAAAAAAGAAAAAAAAAAAAAAGAACTAGCATCCTCAATAATGTCATTTCCCAACTTCAAGCCAAAACTCTGGGGATCATCCTTGCTTCTTCCTGCTCCCTTATTTCCAGTCTCCCTTAAATCCAGTCTCTTATGTTCTGTTAGTTCTACCAGCAAAATAAATCTTGCAACATTCACTTCTCTCCGTCTCATCTTGTACTGCTATAGTACAGGCTCCACGCTTGACCCAGAAGCCTTCAAGGGCCTCTATATAGTCTTCTCGGCTTTCATTCTTGCTACTGACAACAGTGTGGTCCTCCGGGAATATACGACAGCACTCACTGCCTGCTTCAAATCTCTGAATACCTTTCCATTCCATTTACAACAACATACGAACTGCTGACCAAGGCCTAAAAGGCCCTATTTAATGTAAACTTGCCTACCTCCATGTTCCTATCTCAGCACGCCATACTCCCCACATACTCCCCACCACACTGACTACAACGCCACCAGCCTCCTTTTTGTTCTGGAAACACCTGAAATGTATTCCTGCCATAAGCCCTCTGCACTAGCTGCCATTAGCTTTCTTCTCTTGGGCTCTGCAGAGGCAAGTCCTTCTCGTCACTCAGGATTCAGTTCAAAAACCAGCTGCTCAGAGAAACCTTCCCAAGATGACTAGTCTTCAGTAGTTCCAAACCTTCTCATACTACAGTTTTATTTCCTCGGAAGCACTTTTCATCAGAGATTCTCTTGATTACCCAATTAGTTTACTCTTTTATCACCTGCCCCTACTGATAAGCATGTCAATGGTGTGAGGATGAGAATTCTGTTGTTCTTGCCCTTCACTCTTACCTCTAGCACCTTGAGCTGCTCCTCACTCACAGTATGGGCTTCTTCTCATGTGTGCATTGCACACGGTGCAACCTGCTACTAAAGGATCCACAAAATGCAAAGCTTCTCTTATATAGTACAAACCATGATGGTTATTATACAAACGTGGGTTTACGAACTGGGGTACAGATGATGTCTGGATAACGTAGGCTTCAGTTGTCAGCAGGTAGTGTCCAGATTCACACAACTAAACTGCAACAGCATCCACCAGTTTTGCTTATAACCTGTCTCTTGCACTGGAGTCTGAGCACCAGAGGCCAGTACTTTCGGTGTCTCACCATTTTGTTCAGAATGGGTAGAACTGTGCTGAGCACCGGGAAGTGTCTCGTGAGTATTTTTAAAATGAATGAACACAGGGTAAAGAGAGGAGCTTTGGTCATCAACTGGCCATAAACCATTGTCCTACTTCTCACTCTAGGGTCCAATAACTGCTAAATCCTAATGACAAGTATAAGTAGTACTCAATGTTCTTTTAATTCTTCAAAGTGTGACATTAGCTAAATGCTTTTTGGTTTGAACTTCTAACCAGTATCTCTGACCTTTAAATACTTTTCTAGCTACATGAAATTAGTAAATTGGGATATAAAACCAGGGGTATACTGTAAGCTACCACAAGGGGTACTTTTGTTTACTATTGTATTTCTAGCCTCAGCACAGTGCCCTATAGTAAATGCTACATAAACAATTAATGAATAAGCAACTACGATAAAATGCTTTTCGTGGCAGATGTGGCCAAAGTATGATAATAAGCCAAGGTGCTGACCTGCCTGTAAAATCCCCAGAATTTTTTTTTTAAGTTTATTTATTTTGAGAGACAGAAAGCGTGCATGCATGTATGGCATAAGCAAGGGATGGTCAGAGAGAAAGGGAGAAAGAGAATCCTAAGCAGGCTTTGCACAGTCAGCACATGGAGCCTGACACAGGGCTTGATCCCACAAACCAGGAGATCAAGACCCAAGCCGAAATCAAGAGTTGGATGCCCAATTGACCGAGCCACCCAGGTGTCCCCCTCAGAATTCCCTTTCTAAAGAAACTAGGTTAAGTATAATTTTGGAGTTACTTTCCTATATTGACCCACCAGGAACATATTAAAACAAACACAACAACAAAACCCCCCCATAGATCTGGATTGTAGACACTTCCCTATAGTAAATTCAATGGAAGTCTCTCTACTTCATTTAAAATTCAGAATATAGCAACTGTAAATTTCTCCCTGTCTCCCCAGTGAGCTGCAATCCATCAAAATTTCTCAAGCAGTCAATAATAAAAAAAAATGATTCATGGTGATTCTGCACTGGGAACACTTTTAGGGACTAGGATTTCACTTGGGAGCAGACATGTTCAAAAGTGACGACACAGGTTAAGCTTTTAAATGCTAATCTTATCTCTTCCCAAAGCACTGGTTGACTTATCTCTAGATCATCCCTACTATAGCAGGTAAACACAAGCTCTTAGAACTATTATTTTTCTTGTCATCCAGACCTATTCCTAGTATGACTAAAGAATAAAAAAGCTCCCTTTTCTTCAAGAGAGTTAACACAGGCATTTTGTAACTGCTCAGGCCTCAGTTAAGTCTAATAGTATGAAAATGCAACAATAAGTGGCTAGCCCTTTTATTCCAATTTTCCACCATGACATTCATGAAATTATACTTAGCATTCTCCATGATATCCCTTCTATAGGGGGAGACTCCAAATTCAGCATGGAAGGAAGACTTACAACAGAAATTAAAAGGATGACCTTTTACAAGATATCAGGATATGAGTGGTGGCATCACAGGTTTTTAAAATTTTTAAAAAGGTTCTGAGTTAACAGTCTTCAAAGTAAATGTAAACTGTTTTGTGTTCTGAAATTCTTTCTGAAGTTGGACTTGGAAGCTTACTTGATATTCCTTAGTTTAAAAAAACAAAAGAAGATGAAAAATGTACTTTAAAACCCTCAAGTTCTTACTCTAAATAATTGCAGGAGGAGAAAAAAGGAAAAAAAAGGAACTTTCTTTCTTGGGTCAGGAAAGAGGGTGAGTGGGTAGCCATGAAAGATAATCTGGGGGGGGGGGGCAGTACTTCTTTTCAAAGTAGCTGCTTTGCTGAGCAATCAAAAGAAGCGGAGGGAATAAATGTAAACAGGGGGACTGCCTGGGTAGCCCGGGGCTCTCTCACCAGCTGGGAGAATGGGGACCTACTTCCTCTCAGGAAGTGGAGAGAGGCCTGTGTGGGCAGCATATCTAGTTAAATGAAATTTAAAAGAAATGCTTCAGCTGCTCTATGATTAAGGTGCCAAATCTACACAGACAGTTATGCACATCTACTGCACTGTTTCATTTTTGTATGTTATCTCCTCTTCTCATTTATGGTACTTTTTGGAGCTTTCGTTTGCCAATTAGGGCAGGAGGTAGACTTTGCTCTTTTTGATACAATAGTTATTTAATACCTGTGAAGTTTTATGGGTTCCAGAAATGTTAACATTTTAGTTCTACACCTGAAACAGAGCTTACTTGATTAAGAAAAAAAAAAAGAAAATAGACCATGCTACAAGTTGCCTAACTTTAAAATTTCAGAACTTTGGGGTGCCTGGGTACCTCAATGAATTGAGAGTCTGACTCTTGATTTCTGCTCAGGTCATGATCTCATGGTTTCTGAGTGTGAGCCCTGCATTGGGCTCCATGCTGACAGTGTGGAGCCTCCTTGGGATTCTCTCTCTCTGCCCTTATCATGCTTCGGCATTCTCTCTCTCTCTCTCTCTCTCAAAATAAGTAAACTTTGAAAAAAAAATTTAGAACTTTGAAAACTTGGCATGAAAAGAGTTCTCTAAATTTTTTAAAGTACACAAAACTTATACTGTATTGTTACCCTAGCACTGTATGGTAAAGCAGCAGTATTACCACCCGGGGTTACTGACATGGTGTATTCTAATCACAGATGAAACCTGAAAACATCACTTCTTGTTAATCCTCCTCTAACCTGTTTCCTCCAGACATAAACAGATGTTTGATCTTAAGTACTGAAATATGTTTTTGCTAAATTCCTTAAACACACTGATCTTAAATATCACTCAAATACTGAACTAGCTAGTACTTCTCATATTGCCATATTTCTGTCTCCTATCACTTTCCAGATAGGGATTATACATATTACTATCAGAATGTATATAACACGCTGTCCATGTCTACTGCACTGGCTAACTATTAAGTAGCACAAACTATGAAAAGAAAATCTAAAAGAAAGCATCTTGAATGCAGGTAAGCTATGGAGGAAAACCTACTTACTCTACTTATAAAAGTCTTATTCATTATTTAAAAAAATTTTTTTAATGTTTATTTTAGAGAGAAAGAGAGAGCAAGAGAGAGCAAGAGAGAGAGAGAGAGAGAGAGAGAGAGAGAGCGCGGAGACACAGAATCAGAAGCTGGCTCCAGGCTCTGCACTGTCAGCACAGCCCGACATGGGGCTTGAACTACAAACTGTGAGAGAATGACCTGAGCTGAAGTTAGATGCTTAACTGACTGAGCCACCCAGGCACCCCAGTCTTATTCACTATTATATATCAAGAAAAACACCCTAACTAGGCAACATAAGAAGATGACAAATACTAGTATGAAGCAAAGGCTTAGGAGCAAACAGACCAGGTCTGATGACCGACTAGATAGAAGATGTGGAGTCACTTGCTCAACCTCCCCAAGCCCACATTCCTCTTCGGTCAAAAGGAGCATACACAGTACCACTCTCATAGATGGAGACAGAGGATGTAAAGCGTGTAATTTTTTCTACCAGCAACAGTATTATGTCTCCAATCTTTTCTGGCTCTTAAACCTTCTTTCTATACATCTTGAGTTAGCAGACACTACACACTGCTGGCACCTGATATTCAACCTACTGTATTAGTTCCTTAAGGATGGCCAGTAACTTGGGGTGCCTGTGTGGCTCAGTCAGTTAAGATCTGACCCTTGACTTCCATTCAGTTCATGATTTCACAGTTCATGAGTTCAAGCCTTGTGTTGGGCTCCTTGCCAATGGTGCAGGGGCTGCACCAGGGATTCTCTGTCTGCCACTCTGTCCCTCCCCTGTTCATGCACACAGTTTCTCGTGTGTGTATACTCTTTCTCACTCAAAATGGATAAACTTAAAACAAATAAACAAAACAAAAAAACACAAGAAAACCAATGGCCAGCAATTTGCCCACCCTCCTCTGTTTTAATCCATGGTCTCTTCTCCAAGCTCAAGTGGCCCATTTCTCTCTCCAAACAGAATTATGTTTGAACAATGTATGTTTATGTGGGCCAGTGTTGTATGCATGGTTATATGCATTTCTTATTGATACCAACGCATAACAATAGTGTTCTAAAGTGTTCTTCTTACCTCCTAAATCATTCTCCTTAGTGCCAACTCATATAACAATTGAGGTCAGCAGGCATAAAAAATGATAGATACCCAGATTCACACTCAGAATGCTACATCTGATCAGAGTTTGGTTCGAAAAACCTTTACCAAGATTTTGGTGCTAAGCCACTAACTGGAGATACCAACATGAGATAATTTAGACAGACAGGGAAATAAGAAGATAATTTCAGCACATTGTTTTCATACTAGATAACGTTTTTCTGTTTTTTGTTTTTTGAGAGTGAGTGAGCATGAGTGGGGGAGGGGCAGAGAGGGTGAGAGACAGAATCCCAAGCAGGCTCTGCACTGTCAGCACACAGCCTGATGTGAGGCTCAAACTCACAAATTGTGAGATCATGACCTGAGCCGAAGTCAAGAGTCAGATGTTTAAACAACTGAGACCCCAGGGCGCTCCTATGTGTTTGTTGTTGTTGTTGTTAATGCTATGGAAGCACAGGGTAAATACAGGGGGAACAGGGGTGAAGACTAAGGGCAAAGAAACATCACAGAGGGCTTCTGGGAAAAGGAAATAACTCAGCTAGACAAACATGATGAAGAAGGGCTGATGGCCTTCAAGACCAAGTTGGTGTACTAGGTACATCA